AAAAAAAAAGAAAGAAGCTTACATCGTTTGGCTTTAGGTTAAAATCCTGTAAACTGATACTTCGGATTGCTGTTGAAAACTGTCAAAGATAGATTAGGTATTTCCTAAGTTATTGGGCTAGGGTTGAAATAGAGAGTAGCAACTTCAAGCAAAAGCATCACGTCTAAAAATATTGGCCTCAAAAAAAGAGTAAAGTTTCTAAATTATTTTTTATTTCGTCCAACCATCTCAGTTTACAGGATTTGGTCCATTATAGGATTTACCAAACAAGAGTTGTCCCTTCTCGACTATGTCGTCAAATGGCTTAAACTTTTCAAGATATATCGCTGCCATCTGTTTGTCTACGTTTTTGTGTTCATTGCTCAGATGATCTTCAGGATCAGAATACAATGATTTTATGTCTTCATTCTCTTCTTCACTTGTATAAATGGATACTGATTTAGAAGATCGTGCCTGTTTATCACTTGAGCTGTATTCAGATGATTTTGTAGATCTAATGCTTCCAATCAAAGAATCACTCATCATGTTTGTAAGTTCAACGTGTTCCTCCCTATCTGTTTCTAATGATTTTCGACTATTATCTTTTCTATTGGATAACAGCTTTTTCTTTATCATAGCTGGACTGTGTCTTAGGATAGCATGAAGGAATTCTAATCATAATGGAGGGTTAAACATATGGATGACATATACTCTTTAGCCTACGCTTTTGTATTTCTTCTACCATTTTGGCTACAGACCATGTCTTGTTTCTATACTCAATGCTGGGTTGCTTAAAAGAAAAATTATAAATGTTATACAACGTATTTCGAGATGGTCCACGTAAGCTAATACAGTGTTTTGCTCCTGATATCTTTACATAAATGAAGGTCCTGTTAGTTGATGAGCGGTTCTTCATGATAGCTAATTCATCCTGCTTTAGTTTTGGTTTGCCCTGTAAAGCGTCTTTCATCATCTTTGCCAGCATCTCGATACTTGTACGACTACTTTCTGTCTTTAAAGAAAATCGACTAGAAGTATATCTTGAGCTGCTATGTCTACTCAACTTTGGACGAATTGAGATCGATTCCTCGTTTTCATCCATCTCCCCATCTGTCATACTTTGAGTATCCTCTTCTTCGTCATCATCATCCCTGTTGTCCTTCTCTGGCTCGACTACGGTAATTCTTGGAAAAAAATAGTCTTTCAAAGCGGTCCCAAAAGCCATACTGATCTGTAGATGAAGAGGGGCGACGTGCACTTCTAATTGTTGAATGATAGGTATTCCTCCCACAGGCGGAAGGGTATCCAAAACCCCACGTAATATCTTGTCCCTGGATGATGTTTTTTGATCAACATGTGCATCCAAGACATGAACAAACACAGGCGACTCTGTAGTATTTATAATTTGCATCCTGTCTACTTCTATCATATGTCTACTTGAGCCAGTTGGCTTACGAATAAATGAATACTTAATATCTTGTAGAGTCCATTTACACAGCGATGTCTCTTTTCCTTTCTCCACCATAAGCGCTTCCCACACAATTTCATCAGCAGTAAAATTGAGCTTCATGGCCGTACCGCTTTCTTTCAAATGGTTATCTTGTCTAAATGTCTGGATTGACTTGATAGCTTCTACCACGAGATACAAACGTTCTAAACTATCGAAAGCTTTCTTCTTGTTCACCTGATATTGCTGAATGGCCTCATCATCTAGATTTGGCAGTTCATTTAAGAACCGTTTATGCATGTTAATGAGAAACCTTGACTGTGCTTGAAGTACGGCAACTTGTTTTATTGACTGAGCGAGGTCGCTACGTTCAGCTGCTAACATAATTTCCTGAAAGAGCTCCATGCGCTTTTTTTTACCGGATATCAAGCTCCTGCCAAGTACAAGGTTGGATATAGTGTAATACAATACATGACTCTGTAACGAATTAGCAGCTAATTTGAGCTGAGGAAAGTGCAACTGCACAGTATTACTGCGATCCTCAAAGGGGTTATATCGACTTGAGAGATACTTGTTGGCCTTGATTCGCAACGGATTATAGGAATCAAGCTGGATTGCACCAGAGAGTTGAGAAGCAATACGCTGAAAGTTTTCAAAGTATTTCAAGTCCTGATATTGCCATAACTGCTCAGGCTGTATCCAAGCCGCCCAGTGTTTCTTGGGATTGTTGTTACCATATATGTGCTGAATGAGATCTAGTTCCTCGTTTGACCCTAAACGACTGGCTATAAATAGTTGTGCATTGTTTAAGCCCATAATACATCTGTTTTTGACTAATTTGATATTCTTTTCTGCAGAATCGTCACTATTATCAAGAATTTCAAAGCTCTTGATTTGCATTCTTTGATTTGTCACTAAAGCAAGATGATCCAATCCTCTTTCGCTTTGAAGGATAACTTGTGGATGTATCATCTCAACAACAAACTTGCTCCTCATTTCGTAATACTCAGGTATAGAGTTGTATTGATAATCTGGGTCATCGTTTAAATTGTCAAATGCATAGATTCCATCATGGTTCTTTTCTTCTCTCTTGGCCTCTTCTATCTCATTGTAAGCTACAAAATTGGTCTCCCTTTCAGACAAAAGTTTTTGCAGCAGCTCCTTTGCCATTTCCTCAGTGGCACGATTGTCTACACTGTCAGGAACATCAGGTTTCCAGCGCTGCTGTTCATCAACTGAATTAGCCAGTCCGGAAAGATATTGAAGACAGCGAGCAGATAGATTGTATGCTTGTACAGATCGGCTTGACTTCAACTCATTCCAATAGATGACAATGTCTCGAATAGAGTCGTTCCATATAATTTGTGGGTTATGGATGAAGCATCGATTCTTGAAATGACCCATGAGTGTTTCCCATCTAGACAACTCGTCGCGAAAGATAACAGATGATGTTGTTGTATGAATAAAACTTGATCCTTCATTGTTAAATTCAGATTCAAAGATGACTTGGCCAATGTAATTGTGAAGAATATATCTCTTGTTTCGCAAGTAATCTATCTTGCTTGAAAGAGTGCTATGCTGATTCTTTAGCTCGGGATATTCTTTGTATCCACATGTATCAAGAGCTTGAATGACTGTATCCAGCTGTTGATCATATTCTTCAATAAGATTATCTAATTCGACAGCACGTCGATTCAAGTAAGCTTTCTGGAATTCATAAGCATCTATATAACCTAGTGAGTTCTACTGATTCTTATGGAATCTTATTATTTATCTACCTATTTTATCATTTATAGTGCAATCGTGGGTCATACGTAAATATTCACGCTTATTGATTCCATCTTCATCATGCTGCTTTACAAAGTAAAATAACGGAGAGAACAAAAATGGATAAACTTCTACATTCAAGTACACCGGTTTGTTACTGGCGGTTGATAAAGGATCCAACAAGATGTAATCTCCGGGATCAATCCATTTGCAGCTATATATATCCTGGAGAGGAGCATCCATATAGAACAAGCTATTTCTATGGTTCTTTGCTTTTTGGCTGTTACTCGCCTTAACAGCGCGCAGGTCAATATCGCTCATCTGCAATTTAGCTTCATGAAAAACACGTTCGACTTTGACAGTATCTTGATGCTTGAGTAGCTCTCTTTGTGAATGAAGATCCACAACAAAATCACGAGCGTGCGCCTTGAGTCCAAGAGAGCGTTTGCCGTTTCTCAAATATGATTCTTCCTCTGAACAAAAGAAGCCAACTGAGAGTGAATTGAGAACGATCTTGTACTTGACAGTGTCGAGATGATCTCCATAGCCTTTTGTTCTCTCTGTTTTGTCTGTCCAAAATGGTCCTTGACGTACCGGTAGGCTAAGTGGACCACCAAAGAGGTCGTACCAGGCTGAAAAGTATTCTATGAAGCATTGACTGAGGTACATGGCATTGTGCGGCCTACTACTGCCATAGAGCTGAGCATCATCTGGAACATGGCTATCTAGATCTTCTAGCTGAACAATGCTAAATGATAGATGAATAAAGTTGGATCGAAACCCGTGGTAAGAATCGTGTGTATCCTAAATCAGAGTGATATTAGTAAAAAAGCAATCATGAGTATGTAAGAGTATTATTACCATAACCTCATGTGTGGCCACGTACTGAGGCGACTTGAACGTGACTTGATGATGTGGTATAAATGCACTTGTCCTGCACCGTTCAATTGGATGTAGCGCGTCATGTCCTATGCAAGTCGACCGGTCACAGCTGGATCGTTCAAATAGCATGCCGATACCCATCTTTATACCACCCGACAGTTTCAGGACGACCTTCAAGAACCTTTCGTTGTGATTTGCCCTGTTGTTCATGGTCAGTGTATCTGGTAATTGTGGTATAAAATCATTTGCTAGGTTAGGAACACCAAACGTGTATTCTTGACTGATGATCTGCATAAATTCGCGCTGTGGATTCTGGTACCCAACAAGCCACATAACGTCTTTACTCCAAACCTTGGCCATACCTGCTCCGTGGCCATTGAGTTCATATGGATTCCTAGTCCCCTTGATAGCAAAAGCGAGATCACCTGACAGGAACTTGATCTTAATGCGAGAGTGATAGATAAAACGAATCTTGTCCCACCAGCCTAGATTCGGCGATGGATCAACAGGTGCCGCCGTGAGAGTATCTAAGACGCGAATGATGTCTTGAATCGCCGGCTTATATGAATTTGACCATCCAATGATTGACATACCGTCAGTTGTGACAGTGTAGTCTATAACCGAGTAAAACTTGAGAGGTGAAGCTGTTCGCACAGCCGAGAGAGTGTATCCTGACGGAAGGATTGGCACATGTATGACCTGGCTTCCTCTTGAATCGCCTGCTTCATCAGCAGCAATATAATCACCTTCAAGGGTCCAAGATACAGGATTGCCATCAGAAGATGGAGGCACATACAAGAGAGGTACAGGATAGTCACGTATCTTTACCCAGGTTCTGCCTGCCTTTAAAGACAGATGGAAGGGAATTAGCAGAGAAAAGTTAGAAGAAATGCCACCTCCGAGATCATGTGCAAAGGCTCGTGTATCATCAAGTGAGAATTTAGGGAGGTTAATCTCAATGCATGCATTTTCAGCTGAAAAGTTCACCAAGGGTGGGAATAACGGGCGTGGTAGGATATCAATCTGGAACCAAGAAGCAAAGGCTTCTTGGCCTCTCACTTCTTGATCTAATGCGCTATCGAGAGTATCTGCGTTGAAAGGATGACGATAATCTTGCGCGATATACATGGTTTCGTAAAAGGACGCTTGGGTACTAATTGCCCGATCAATGTTTTTTATCCAAAGCTTTGAAAAATGCCTCGACAGATCATCTCCGGCGTCCTGGATCTCTCTCTCTGTAGTCGGGTCATTGCCTTGATAGTCTTGCTCCTTTGCTTCATCCTGTGGCGTTCCATTGATCTTTTTCTCAAACGCCTCCCTATATGCTTGGCGCTTTTCCTGCTCTACTAAACCGCATCTAAATATTGTCTGCAGTCGTGCCTCGAATGGATCGTCATCAAAATGAATCAAGAACACATTTGACTTGATTTTCACCGGCTGGATCTGGATAGGCACATTGTTAGTTGCAGGGCCAAAGTAGGTAAAATGATTGCCGCTATTGTTCAATATTCTCGCATGCAAGTCTTTGACTGCCTTAATATGACAAATGAGACAATCTAAAATATCGGCCAGGATGTACTGATAGGGGACGCGTAAGAAGATCTTTTTGAGGACAAGGCCCACGGGCGAGTGTGCATCCAGCGTGAGCTCACAGCTATCAAGCTCTACAAGCGGGTTCCAGCCGTTGTTGTCACAGGAAATGCCTAGGATAGCCAGATTGTCTACAATTGCTGTAAATCCACCGTTTGGTGATAGAACAGAGGACACCTGATCCATTCGGAGGTAAAGGTCAGCCGTACTTGCCAGATTCAAACGAACGTCACCACGGTCAATGTAAATTTCCAACTGAACGTCTCGCTGTTCCTGAGGGGTCGCTGGGCCTGTTCTTGTTGTTAGAGAAGACAGAAACCTTGAGAGCGATCTTGCGATCAACAAACACACGTAATGGTTGTTCACAGAGTAGCAAATACCGTACTTTTTAATATGAGCAACGACTTGCAATGGTACCAACGTTCGGTACCTGGACACATGGAGTTCAGAAATCCAAAGGATCAACTGCGGATCTGGTTGTTCTGAGGATATCACATGTGAGGTCTGTTCGATGGATAGTGCACATAGATGGAGAAGTGTCTTTGATGAATTAAAAACAAGGGCCATGCTGTGTGCGTGTAGTGCCACCTGAGCGCTTATTGTCTCGGAAGGCGTATTATCGATAAACCCTCTAGGAGGTAAGGGGCCATTGGCCGTCTTCCCAAGGTCCATGAAAGATAAAGAAACAGAGAGATTAGAGAGCTCCAGACAGAATGTTACGTGCTGTCGAAGTGGCTCTAGCCAAGGAGGTGACATGGATTGTTCTTCTTGCGCCAGTACCGAGATCCACACGGCACTTGCATCTGCATCATCCTGATTGTTGTAGAGATAAATCACAGGCCTTTCTATCACAGCATCTGCTTGTATGGGCTGTTGGGTCAAACTCAAAAGCGTCTGCGGCCCTTTACTTGTGTCGAGCTTTGTTTTGACCGTCAAGGCAGCTCTTTTGATAGACACACATTGTTTCTTTGCTTCATTGATGTGGTATCCAATAGAAAACTTGTGAAGCACTACTTTGGTCATCAATTTCAATGTATTCGAGTATTCTATCAGTGGCAGACGTTGTATAAGGCTTGTCCACTTTTTATCTTGTGCGGCAGTATTCCTTTTGAAAAAGTCGCGATGATGTAGCCATTGATACTCCTCTTGAGCAAAATGGGCGTCTAGGAGACTGGAATAGACTGGGCATTCAGCAGTCAATCTCCAAATGAGATCATTTGCAGTCATGTATCCTTGACGATTGGACAAGAGAGAACATGTTATCCTAGGAGAGTACATGACGAGAGAGGCAGTAAACATGGGCAAAATGAATTGACGCTTAGACGAAGAATTAGATGAGGGCAGTCGTGAAACAAATACACGTAGTAAGTCAAGGTCAATATTAGGTGATTGGGTCATTATTGTCAACGACTTGAAAGCTATTGTGAGGTTAGAGGCTTTGTTTACAGAATGAACCCGTTCTTACCCTGATGTAAGTTTGAATGAATTTGGAAATGTGTCATGCTTATCAAGCAGAATGAGCGTTGATCTAACAGTGCATTCCATTCTATATTGGATACACTCAGTTGCAGTGAAGGATAGAATGAGAACTGTATCGAATGCATATCAACAGAACAGTAATCGGGATGAATGAGTTTGACTGATCGTACTGTTACACGAACCGATTTGAATAAAGAATAGTCCTTTGTTTCATCTTGCTTTTCTTGATCATGCTTCAATTTTGATAAATGATGACCGTAGACAATCAGCTGGTCGAGGTTAAATAAGAGCGAACGGTCGACTGAGAGTTTGGACAAATCTATCAGATGAGATTGATGATGAAAAAGTTGAATTTTACTTGAATCTAGTTGTTGATTCACTAGGTGAAGGTTGTCACAATAAAGAATGAAGTGATTATAGTGAATGGATAAGGATTGAACGTAAATGATGATGGGTAATTTAGAAATCCATTTGAACAGGTACATCTTGAGCTTGGATGTTCTATGACTACTACTGCTGTTACTACTATTGACAATAGTCAGATAGACATGTCTTAGTTCGATCACTAGCCCATGGTGAAAATAGATTTTAAATTCCTTGATTTGTAGTTGATTGAATAGGAGGGACCTGTTCAGATAAATAAACAAGAAGAGGAAGATGATGAATAAACATAGATTGATGACCATTATAATGTAAAGAAAGGAAGAAAGAAAGAAAGAGGGGATGTTTTTATTTTTCTTTCTAAATATATATAATAAATGTGTATATATGTGATAAAATAATGTGAGTGGGTGTGTACGACAAATAATGAATCTATAAATGAGTAATAGTTGGAAATGCCCAATGATGAGTATTATCTTTTAGTGGTAAACTTGAATGTCTCCAGTGATCAATTGGGAATTGAGTGATCTGACATAATCTATCATCAATACCAGCAATGTTTAACAGTTGCTGTCTAAGATCGATAGCCAAACCACGAATGGTGTGAGTTAATACCAAAGATGCTTGCATTCCTTCGGTAAAATCACTACATTGAATCCATGAAGTATCATTATTGTTCATAAAGAAAATAGGTGCTTCTATCAACTGAATATTGATTTCTGCAGAGATATTGTCTTCTAGTACGTGTAATTCGATACATGATATCATATCAAATGAGATGATCATTTTGAAATGATAGTCGTTGTCTCTGATATGCCATGAAAACTCTCTATTCATCAACGTATAATAGCATTCTAGATCATGTTGATGTATCTTCATTCTATGCCAGCTACCTATTGTTAATGATGTAGCTGTGATCAAGCCAGTATCTAATTCTGTGTATATACATATACATATAAATGCCAACATATTTATCTTTGTATATAATAATATATACCTTTATATAGACTAGGCTGTGGCGAAGGTGATGCATAACTAGGTCCACTGATGGATATACTAGGGGGATCAAAGCTAAAAAGACAACTACCAGTAGTCGTCGTTGTAGTACTCGCAGTCATACTAGAAGCATTATTATTAGTAGGCGGAATAAGAGGAGGAGGAGGAGGTGGCGGAATAGATGAAGATCGAACCATATCTGAGCTCCATGCTCTGTATGGTAACTTTTGTCTTGAGGCAAAAGGATACCAGTAAGGACTTAGCTGTTGTTGCTGTTGTTGTTGTTCTTGTCTCAACATGACTCTCTTTTGAAGCATCTTGACTTTAGCTCGTCTATTCTGGAACCAAATCTGAATTGAACGTTCTGGCATCTTGAGCTTTTCTGCTAATTGTTTACGCAATTTGGAATCAGGAGTTGAAGTCATGTTGAAGGTTTCTTCTAGTATCGTCAACTGAGCTGGAGTAACTCTGGTACGTTTCTTTGTATCTTCATTGGACGTGAGCGGAGGTGAGGTGGACTCTGACATATGTTTTAAAGGAAAGGAAAGGGTTTATAGATAATAAAAAGGAATGTAAAGATAGTAGAAGTGTTGAGTAAAAGAAATAAAGTACAAAAAAGGGGGGAAAATAAAATTAAATGAAGCCAATTTCGCTCATTCAATTTATTGTGTATAAGCGGAGCTACAGTTTATTCACTAATAAAACACACAATGTTTGAAAAGAATAGAGCTCTTAGGGCGGAGAAACGGGAATGATGTTTATCAACTTAATCTTGCTAGTTATCTTTGTTTCTCTTCCTTGTCTTTTTATTACATTTTTAAAAGTTGATTTGAGAAAAAATAAGCAGAAAAGATAGGCGCGTCTCATATGATTCCCTTTAAGCCATGTGAGCGCGCTCATGCGCAGTGAATAAAAGAAATGCATACAGCGCCCCACATTTCAGCTTGTTATCTATATAACCTCTCCTTTTTTACAAATCCGTATATTCGATAGAATAGCAATCTCTTCTTCTACACTCTTTATAAACGTTTCTAGTAATCAACTTCTCTCTTATCCCATGTTTATACACAAAAGATACACTTTAGAGCTTGACATGGCGGGTGTGAGAATATCGCGTGAGAAAGCCGTTTTGTATATTTGACAGAAAAAGGAACATCTCTTTTTGTAACAACGGAGTAAACCCCATTTTATTCGTATTTTTATATCTACGTGCAGATTAAAATTATATACATTAAATTTAGTTGACAGTTTGGAAGTATTCTTGAGATTCCTTGGGGTTGGGCTTAATGGTCTTGGAACCAGCCTTCCAGTTGGCAGGGCAGACTTCGCCGTGCTTATCAGTGAATTGGAAAGCTTCGACAAGACGGAGGACTTCATCAACGGAACGACCAACGGGGAGATCGTTGATGGTGATTTGACGAACAATACCGTTGGGGTCAATGATGAAGAGACCACGGAGAGCAATACCGTCGTTTTCGATGAGGACACCGTAGTCCTTGGCAATGGACTTGGTCTTATCGGCAAGGAGAGGGATCTTCATTTCACCGAGACCACCTTGCTTACGAGGAGTGTTGATCCAAGCGAGGTGAGAGAATTCTTTTGAAAAAGTTAGTTTTCAACCACACACACGCACATGTATAAACTTACCAGAATCAGTGGAAGCACCGATGACAGCAGTGTTCAAAGCCTCGAATTCAGCAATACGTTCAGAGAAGGCAAGGATTTCAGTAGGGCAGACGAAGGTGAAATCCATAGGGTACCAGAAGAAGACAACGTATTTACCCTTGTAGTCAGAGAGGGAGATGTTCTTGAATTCACCGTTGACAACAGCAGGAGCAGTGAAAGCGGGAGCAGGCTTTTGAACTTGAGCGACTGTTTATTTGTTAGACGGATATTTCAAGAAAAGTGGCGAGAGAAATGCTTACCCATTTTTTATTATTAAAGTTAAAAAAGAAGAGAAAAGCGACGTGAAAGTCGCGATATTTATAACCCTTTTTTTTTTCTGTAAGTTTCTTTCAAATCTTATTTGTTGACTACAAAAATTTAGTAACCAGTGAATTGAGTTTAAATTGATTAGTAAACAAGCTATCGCCCAATCAAATGTAAAGAATGAGTAAGCAGAAAGCTGGCCTATGAGCAAATGAGCTTTGATTACTAAAGAAAGAGAATTTCTCTATTTCCTGTCCACTGTTCCAATTGGCCTGAAAAGAAAATTAGCTGTCCGACAAAAGCTTAAAGCATGAAAGTCAAGCGATTAATGTTCTAAGGTGAGAGCTGTAGTTGTTTTTTAGGCTTTAAGGTTCCTTGAATGCTTCTTCATAGAGATGAGATCCTCTTTGGAATGACAAATAGTGCGAACAATATCTGTTGCACGTCTTAATATTCTTTCAGTAGACGTTATATCAAACTGTCCACTGTTCGTTTGTGAAGAGGAGTGATGAGGAGGAGTATCTTGTGGTTATTGTGTAAGCATATTGATAGTGCTTGAGCTTGCTAATATCCTGAATTCATTTACATGAATATCAAGCTATAGAGTGCTTTCATATTTCAACATGAAATTGTGTGTTTGATCATCCTCATATAGGATTTCTTTTTAGCAGGTCAAGAACTCTCTTCTTAAAGTGCAACTGTCAGCAAATGTCCTTCTAGACTCAACCTTTGTTGTCAACTAACTGGTAACCAGAAAGTACATTTCGGGTTGCATTGGTTTCAGCACCACTATAAAATAGTTTAAGTTGCTTGGTTCTTTTTGAGATCACGAAACGCCCCGTGCTTCTATAGAAAAGCAAACAAAAGAACTACACTGATCATATTCAAGTAATTGATATATATATATATATTGATCTTTCTTTTTGCTTATCAACTGCTGCCTTCTACACTCTTTTTCTCAAAACAATGCCAAATGATATTTATATAACCAAACCAATAAAGTCTCCATTTATTATAGAAAAGCTAAAGCGATTTATTATATTCGAGTGTATCTGTTATGATTTACTTTGATTATAACTGACTTGTCGTGTTTATTAACTTAAAATGGTGTTGTCAATTGCTTTGGTTTAATCGCAAAGGTTAAGGGGAGCTTTCTATTTTCTGTAATAGATGTCTATAAAGGAAGAATAGCGTAAGCATAAAAAAAGGGAGATCCCATGGTCTACTTGCCTCAATAGAGTCAATAACGATTTTAGTATCACTCTTTCCATATATTTCCATAAAACGATCTAATTGGTAAGTTGTATCAAAGATAACGTTGCCTGTCATGTCAATCTCCTTGACTAATCCATTTGCTGCCCATAATGCAATAGTCGATGCACCCGCGAACGTTAATCCACAATAAGAAAAATCCAGTAACCCAATCTTGCATTGTTTAAATAACTGATATAGACTATTGATACCTAATAATGAAGTTCATTGTTAATAAAAGGGGCGTATTTTTTACGTTTAAGCTTACTTTCGTCACCTATAGTTGGATTTGAGCGAAAGGAAAGAATCTTCATATTGGATCGATATTGAATGCCTTGACATAGTTTGGTTATATCTGATTTGATTCTTAGAAAAAAGCTGAGCAAAAAAGAATAAAAGTTACCTTGATGTGTTAATCCACAACCACTCAGATCAAGCTCTGTTAGCATCTTTCCACTACCAAGTAGGAAATTCAAATTCATTAGATCAAGCACATCTTTTGCAGAATGATTATAATCTATTCCTCTTAGACTTTTTGAAATTATGAGTTTTTTTGTTGTTATTTTGCAATGGAATATTTACCTGGAATCAGACAATGCCACAAAGTTACTCCATACTGTGTCACTAGTAATGCCCGATAACTGAAGCTTATCCAATCTTTCGACATGAACTAGTAATGATGTCCAAATGGAAAGCATGTCTTTTTCAAAGTGATTATTGGATAAGTTGACCGTAATACGATAAGGTACTTCAGCTAATAAGAATAATAATAATTAAGCTTCTCTCTTTTTTTAAATCAAAAAACAATACAATACCTTGAGCCATGTTCCTATAAAGGTCTCTTACATCATCATTTACTGCCATGTACTTGCCAAGACAGGTTCCTTCAAGGCTCAATACCCTCAAATTTGGAAAAGCAGTAATCAACTCTGGAACCTTATTTACAAGCTCTGGACCTAACGAATTGTATGCGAGTGATAGACGAGCAAGATCAGAATTTGAAAATAGATCAGTCAGCAGTTGCAGGGTCGATAATGTCGCTCGATTATTGCTCAGATTGATCTCATTGGGTGCTTTACTATATTTGAGTAACCTCTCGATAGTATTGTCATCTATGCTACAATGTCAACAAAATATTGCACCTTTATCCTTCTTCTGTATTACCCAAGAAATTAAAAGACAGATCTAATGTACTGATCATGTTCATCTTTTGAAGAACTTGTTCTATAGCTGGTATTTGATCTTCATATACTACAAGGCGTTATTCTTTTTACTTTTTATCTTATATGAAATATTTACCTGCTCCCTTTAAAGGTATGACACCATGACTAACATTTGCCAATTGCTTACGGATATATTCCGATGGCCTAATATCAAGCCGATCACAGGCATTCAGATATATGTCAAGTGCTGATTTTAATGCAGTTCCTTATAGTTACACAGCCATGAGTCTCATAAAGCGATTTTTCTTTTTAAAGCTTACCAGTAACAACAGCATCTACTTGTTGATCAAGCTCCAAAAGCACATCCTGGATCAAATCATTTGGATATAGATCACTATCCTTAATCTTTAAACGGCTAATGATGGGCTATTCGTACACACATATATATTAGATACACGTCATAATTTATCTTTATCATTTTACCTCTATACCATGTATCTGCCATGTACGTCTCCTAATTTCTTCCATTAGCCATTTTACTGTTTGTTTCAAATCATAGCACAAGATTCGGACGATAACTGGTTCTGGGAATAACACATTGATTCGGATATTCTTTCAAGAATATAAGCTAATGGTTTATAGCTTGTTTGTATCACTTACGATCGTATCTGACTTTAACAATAGTTTATGAGATGGAGTTATTCTATTATCAAATCGAATTGGAGTTATAAAGACCTGCTCATCAACATCCATGGGATCATCTTGTATGATATCAGGCAGTGCTTCCTTTTGAATATAATAAACATCAAGCAGATATAGTAACCTATATGCCCATTACCTGCTGTATTTCAGCGTCCTTCAATAATTTTTTAAAGTGATTAACTCGTTGAGTTTGGTTATAGTATGTGTGTATTTCAATGCGTCGTTTATATACATCTATCTTGTGTTCTAATTGAATGCGGGTATATCTTGTATGTTTATCAATGAATTCTAATGTTTGATTGTCAAGGTCTATATAGGCCTCAATATTCTAATAGTCATGTTATTAGCTCTTATTTTCTTTTCTTTTCTTCATAATACAAGTGCTACATACGCTCTCACGGAGTTGCCATTGTGACTCTGCCTTTATCTGAAGCAAGTTCAAATAGGTAGAGATCATCTGGCTTGTACTTGCTTTAGAGTCATCAATATATCTTAGCGCTTGATCTGCTATTCTAAAAGCTGCTCTGTACATTTGATTTTCCATCAAGAGCTGTGCCAGTTCATACATCAAGCTTACTTTGTAAAGCAAAGCCTCTAGTGTGAGACTATGAATGCTGTCCTGTTCTTCATATCTACCCATTAGCTGCTCTGTTTGAGTGATTAGACTGTATATGCTCGTCTATTTTATAGAGAGAATGTGATTAGAAGCTGATTAAATGGATTGTCAACCTCCAGTTACATAATACTCCTTGGTATCTTCATTCGTCAATTCTTTGAGCCTCTTGCTTAACCTATAACACTCGGCAAACTCCTTCATCTCCAAATGAAATTTTACTATAGACATTACATGTGAATATGAAAATGAATGACTTTAATACTCAACCTACTCCGTTCTTCAAGACAAGGTAGTTCATCCTCATGAAACCCGTGCTGTCGTATGATGTTCATCTCTCTTATCTGACACGCTTTCACCAAATGATCCTGATTTACTCTACGGTAGTGGTTGCCTAGTTCCCACCACGTCTTTTTCTCATTCGCGTAGTCTTTTAATGTCTGCGCGTCCTCAACCGCTTCTTTCAGGAACTTTTCTGCAAATTCTCTTTTATTCGGCAGTTTGGAGCATACGACTCCCAGATTGAACTTGTTTGACCGATGAAATTGAGGCAGTACGGTTGGATCTCGGTCAACATCATCCAGGGTCATTGTCTCTAGGATACTCTTTTCTTTCATGTAGTATTCGTATGCATGGAAAAAGTCATCATGTCTCGATTCATCAGGGTCTGTTGCCTTTATAAAGTATGTGTCGCCTATTGTTTTGTAGATCATTTGGAGTTTTGATTTGTCTTGATCCTCACGTGGCATGTATGACAATGCAATTGTTCCGTATCGGATAGCTGCTTCATAGTCCTCCAAGCTAAAGTATGTATATAAATGAATTAACTTAGTTACATAATATACATGTATATACCTTGAATGACATTGACAAAGGTTGTAGTAGGCGCTTTTAATAAAAAAAAAGTCATTCACTTGAACTGAAGAATATGTGTGTGTATTATTACCTCACTAGATCATACATCGTATCTGGACTATGCTTGTCTCTTTGAAAGAATTTGATAGCTTCTTTACAATATCCTATTGCCTTAGTTAAAAATTTTCTGGTATCTTGTTCTTGAACATGAGCAGGTAGTCCTGGATCTATTTCGTCTACTTGAGCGATCAAGAGATCAGATATTTCAAGTGCAATTGTCGCAGCCTTTCTTTTATTGCCCAACTCAAGTTCAGTATCATATCGACTTTGTTGTTCCTTTAGTTCCTGTGCAAAGGGTGATTGACGAATAAAGCCAATGGCATAAGTTACTTTCTTTCCCATTTGCAATAAAAAAAAAGGTCTGAGAAAAAAAGGGGGTAGAGGGTGTTTTCACTCATTATAAAATGGATGAGTATGGCTTCGAAACTAGACTAAGACATTTGGAATATGTCTTGCTTGGCCAACAACAACAACAACAAATAAAGAAACCAGATGATGCTATTGTACAGCGATTAGGGAAGCTAAATAGAAAACTTCAATCTATTTATCAAAAACATAAACCCATTGAATACTTTATGGAGACATGTAAATAGAAATGTTGTATAAATGCATATAGTGAATAACACTTGTATTATAGATGATACCCATTCTAAATTACTGAACCCAAATACCTCGACATATTCAATGGAAAGAGAATTACTATCGACTGATGTCAAATTAGAATTATTACTTGCTGCTCAAGATGACCTAAAGAAGTTTGCGCAAGAAGTAAAGCAAGTCAAGTCATTAGAACACGTCGTCAATGGAGCCGACTTTGATGGTAAACAGTATGTTAACCCGAAAGCATATAAGCTTATTGTTATATATGTAGTTGTTGACGAACTCAAGCCTAAATTATCTGAATTGGATATAGTTCATGTTGATCAAACCAGACAATTGAACAAACTGACAAAAGAAATATCAGAGTTAATGGAAAGATATAACAAGACTGTAAGTGAATAAAGTATATACTCATGAATGTATTATATAACAATAGTTTAGGTCAATACGGTATCTGAAATATTCATTGCATGGGACAACATATTGACAAGTATCGAGACTCATGTCGCTAATATGGAACATCAAAAGCAGAATTAAAAAATTTAATAAATACCATTTCTTTCTTTTTCTTTTTATTTTTGTGTATATAATGGAAGACCTTTATTCTGGTATATATAGGCTTGTATATATGAAATATATTTGTAAACACTCTAATATAGACAACGACCCTCATTACCGAGAAACACGCGTTCCTTCAGGGATCCCGCCTCCCTCTTTACGCGATCTTAAACGATCAGAAGATTTGTCAAGATATAATCCTGCATTACTACGTCCAATGAAGTCTCGGGATAATAATAATAATAGCAGTAGCCGTTATCAACCTTACTCACAGGAAGAAGACATTCGTCGAAACCAAAGACAGCAACAGCAGCAACAGCAACAACAGCAGCAACAACAGCAGCAACAACAGCAGCAACAGCAACAGCAGCAACAACAAAAACCTATGTACAAGCCTAAACCGCTTAATTTACAACCGAGTACGAGCTTTCTCAAGTGTCAGACAAGACTATCAGTCAATGAGATCATTGATCTTATCAAACTAAAGGAAGTAGAGGTCGATTATGACTTTGTATGTTCTAAAGTACAAGTTGAAAATGTGATTCAATTAAAGGTAATAACAACAGTGCTATGGCCCCAACGCATCCTAATATTAAATGATTAGGGAAAATCCAGCCATTTGCCCAAAGAAATTGTCTCGCAGGCACGATCAAAGAGTAATCCATTTGAAAGGATAGGCCACGGTGTCTTTATGAATCGAGCTGCTATGAAATTGGCTGCTATGGACGCAGATTTTGGCTTGACTGCAACAAAAGGTAGCAATCAGTTTAAATTTCTTGACATTTGCGGTGGACCTGGTGGATTTTCAGGTAAAAAGTAAAAAAAAAAGTATAAAGAGGACAGAATCATAATATATTATCAAAGAGTATATCTTATGGAGGATCCATAGCTGGGGAGAGTCCTGTCATGGATATGGTATTACCTTAAAGATGCCAGCAGAGAAAGACGAGATGAATTGGCACACAGAAAAGTTTCGAGTGGATATTCCAAAAGACAGCTTTAGTATCATCTATGGTCAAGATGGTACAGGTGATCTATACAAACCAGAGAATATAAGAGATGTTGAATCATTGATCAGCAAAGAAACACAAAATGGAGTAGACTTGGCAGTAGCTGATGGAGTAAGTTACAAACAAAAATAATACAATCGTCTATAATCACACACAATAGGGGTTTGATTTTTCTGGACATGAAGCAGAACAAGAACAGTTGGCCCAGAAGCTCATATTATGCGAAATCATTACGATGCTATCAACTCTAAGGCAGGGCGGCGCCTTTGTATGCAAATTTTTTGATATGTTCACCGAGTTCACTGTTGACCTCGTTTGGTTATTGTATCAACTATTTGACGAAATTTGCATTACAAAGCCATTGAGTAGTCGACCTGCCAATTCGGAACGCTATGTCATCTGCCGTAATTTACTCGTCAGCCATCCTACCGACCTTATCGAGAAACTACTGGATATCACTACCAAGATAGGTGATAAGCAATTCCAGTTAATTTCGCGTGACATATTGGACAAAGATGAGGATTTTATTGATTATGTGCGCATGAGGAACATCAAGTTTATCGTTCAACAGACAGACTCATTAGAGCAATTCGACATGTTTATCCAAAACCCGTAAGTTTATTATATTTCTTGAATTTGTCATGCCAAGTCTTTCTATATAGGCAACTCCGTCCTTTTTATGATCAAGAGCAGATTAGACGCCACTGTCTCGAAACATGGAGAATACCTGCTTAGGCCTTTGGTGATTCTTCCGTTTCGCCTTTCTTTTGTTGCTCATAATAAAGTGATCCTCCCACCATTGCCAGTACGGTAAAACCTTGGGCAGCAACTATGAAAAGGATGAGTATAAAAAGGGTCCCTTTGGATATAAAACAAAGATCAACCTCTTAATCGAAACATGTTGTTAGCATAAGCCTTGTTCCCCATTTTGACACCAACTGTTGCGGCAATAAGTGCAAAGCAGGTTAAAGCAACGCCTTTGGTTTGATATGAGTGATTGTGAATATTGAAAAACTGTGTAATTTACCAGCAGGAACAAATGGCTCTTCTCTACACTTTCTCTTTATCTTATCAAGAGCTGTTTCTCCATTCATTGCAATCCTCATTCTCTCGAGTTCTTCTTTGTTGTATTCCTTCATTTTGATTATATGAAAAAAAAGTACAGACCAAAAATTTGGCAGAGGGGGGTTGTTTATGCATACATAACAAAGTCACAATGTCTTTGTGCGATTTTTTCTGAAAGACAGGGCCATTCAAAACGATCACTAAGGTGATTTCGTGAGATTACTATTGTCAGACCTTTTTGGGAACAGGTGCTATTCAGAGCCTCCCTTGTCAGAGCAAAACGCTTCTATACAGAATATAAATGGCGCTAGTCACAATCTGTTAGCCATAGTCAGGATCAAAATATGTGCAACTCCCTAAGGAATAAGCAAAGCAACAAACTCACTTTTCGACAATTATCACAGGCAATGGACATTGTCAAGGAAATCTTGTTATGAAATTGATTTTGATCGGCTGTAACATTGTTTGTTGTCAGCCCTTGAAAATGCCATAAAGCATTTCCAGAGGGTAAAGGGGGTTATCATAGTAAATCTTGTGTTTTGTTACCAATAGCTGATTGTTACACAATACTGTAAGAAGTTTAAATTGATCAATGGCCACTGACCATTTATCAGTCAGAAGGGCGTTTTTGGGTGATCAAATTATCTAAAGATATTTAGAGGCATTGTAATATTTGATTGTGGACAATTGCTAATTTTATGAATGCATTAAATACCAGCAAAGATAACCGCGACGAAAGATGTTTATCTTTTGAAAGATTGTTGTATTGAATCACAAAAGAAAACGCTCAGGGCAATAACCATTATCTCAAGAAAACACTTGACTTGTGTCTACAAACACCAAGTCTTTAACGAACTCTGTCTAATTTAAATTTGTTATCTATCTATTTATCGCTCCGCTTCTCCGCACTTTGACTCACTCACCCCTCTTTCACTCTTTTTTTTTTTTTTTCTTTTTCATTTTCTGTTAATGACGAATTACCAATCCATTGTAGACAACAGCGACAGAGCCTCGTCTGTATCTTCTTATAGAGCAAACTCTGAATTCGGCAGTGCATTAGATTATTATAGACCATTATTAACAAACGATACAGAGGATATATCTATTTGCCATACTGTTTATCCTACTGATGAACCAAGTGCCACTATTACCAGTTGTTCTATTAACCTAGCTAATACTATCCTAGGTACCGGCATGCTGGCAATGGTATATATATTATGATTATCTCTATTATAAAAAGAACGTGCCCTTTAATTTCTTATTTATATGCATATATATATATATATATTTATATATAGCCCGCCGCATTGGCATCTATTGGCTTGATACCCGGCATTATCTTGATTTTATATGCTGGATGCACCTCGGCACTTGGACTCTACTTTCTCTCTCAATGTGCAGCTAGAGTTGGAGACAGGCATGCATCATTTTCTGCCTTATCTAAGCTGACTTGGCCAAAATTAGGTATATTTTTTGATTTGGCAATTGCAATCAAATGCTTTGGTGTGGCGGTTAGTTATTTGATCATCATTGGTGACTTGATGCCCAAAGTATAAATGAATGAATGATATCGACGTGACATTATTGTTAATGAAACTATATCATCTAGGTCATCCTTTCCTTCTTTCATGATGCTGAGCAGAATGCACTCTTGATGGACCGTCGTCTATGGATCACATTATTCATGATCACTGCAGTTGGACCATTGAGTTATTTGAAGCGTCTAGATTCATTAAAGTACACTAGTCTTGTTGCATTATTTGCAGTTGGTTATCTCGTGGTCATTGTCGTCTATCACTACATCTCACCCAACTTTCCTCCTCCACCTCCTGGATCGATTGAATACTTTCATTTTAATACCAAAGTCTTTGGGCAATTACCCGTTTTCATTTTTGCCTTTACTTGCCATCAAAATGTAAGCATATAATCATTGTGTCATGATAACAATAGTAATAACAACCATCATAGATATTCTCAATTTATAATGAATTGAGTGATAACAGTGAAAGATCGATCATACAAGTCATTGTGAATTCTATTGGGTCTGCTGCTTTTATTTATGAGCTAGTAGCTATTCTTGGTTACTTAAGCTTTGGTAAAGACGTAAATGGAAACATCATACTTGAATGTAAGGAGATGAATACATGCGCAGGAAAAGAACAAAAAAAAACTGATCTTCCCTTTTCCTTTTTCTGCTTCTTCCAGATCCTCAAAGTTATTTTGTTGCTTACGGTAGATTAGCAATTGTCATATTAGTCATTTTTAGTTACCCACTTCAAGCACATCCATGCAGAGCCTCTTTGGAAAAAACCCTTGTCCAGCATACGACTCACAAGAGATCACATTTCTTATTGACAACGGCTATTGTCGTCTGTAGTTATCTGGTAGCAATTACGATCACCCAGCTGGATGTTGTGTTGTCCTTTGTTGGATCTACTGGATCAACCACAATTTCATTTATACTTCCGGGATTATTTTACTTTAAGATATTTCAAGATGATCACTGGTACCATTGGAAACGAATCGTTTCGTTATTCTTGGCAATTTATGGTGCTTTAGTGATGTGTATCTGTTTATCGTTTAATATTATGCGTCTTTTATAATTTCATTATAAACATCTCTAATAAACCTTCTTAAAAAAGACACAAGTTCTGGATCATTTTATGTAAATAAAATGAGAACAAAGTTAAAGATAGAGGATATTCGCGATAGAGAGAAAAAGAGGAAAGGAGTTAAGGGAAGGGGGAGACAATATAATGAAATGTGGATAGAAGGAATTTCCACTGCAGTTGTAGTGAAAGGATCTTCATTTTTACTTTATTAGTAACAAGCATTGTTTATCTACATGGAGAGCCAGTAATTTATGTGATCATGATACTACTGACTTGCTTAATTTAACTAAACTTACAATAATTCAAATGTTGTGTAATAATAATGAATCATTGGAAAAGAATATTTCTTATATAAAAGTGGTATCTCATCCTTCCTTTCCTTTTTTTTTTTTCATTCACTTTCTTAAATGGCAGATTATCCTTTCATAACAGACATGTCTCATGAGACCATGGATGGTTTACTAAAACTCAAGACATTCAATGATTCTCAAGCTTCCTTGGGCCCTTTCTCTGTATCCTCTGTCGGCACCTTAGAATATGGTTCTACCATTTCTTCTTTTCCTCAAGAAAATTGCTGTCGTCTACCATCTTTTTCTCAAATTCTGCTTTCTATCGATGCCCACGGGTTTCCTCTTGATGTCTCTCCAAGCTCACTCGGTATTCTTCACAATTACTCCTCATCCATTTCTTTGCATTCTGCGTCTTCAAGTCAATCCTCCCGATCTCGTCGCCGGGGCCGACCCAGAAAATCAGAATGCGGATATTCAAAGGCTAAGCAACACACGGACCACGTTTCACCAAGACCACGATGGAACAATACAGAGAGACATGAACTCATAGAGGCTATCATTAGAGAAAAGAAACTTGATGACATGTCAACTATATGCTGGGATCGTATTGCGGCAGCTGTAGGTAGAGCAACCAAGGCTTGTAAGGATCAATGGCGTAGAGAGGTCTTACCAAATATTCGATCTAAGTTCACAACTTCCAGTAAAAGATCCAGACGGTCGTCGAGTAACAATGAATAACCCTTTCAAAAAAAAAAGGCCCTTGCTTCTTTAGAATGTGTTTAAAAATAAAAACCAAGTTTATATATATAAAGTCGAATACATATACATTTTTTAAAAAAGTCATTGTTGTATATAAAAAGGAGAGAAATGAAAGAAATCAAAAAAGTCGTGCCTTAAAGAAGGAAATGAAAGTGGGGGTATTATGTGCTTAGACCATTCTACTAAACCAAGAGCCACGGTTTTGTCTATAAATAGTATAAGTTTCTTTTTTTGCCTCTTACTTTTCGCCACCTCTGGCAAAGCCAAAGAAAGAACCGGGCTTCTTTCGGTCACGTGCCTTTTCCAGAAGACCTCGAATCGCTTGAAGCTCAGTATTGAACCTTTCAGCTTCTGTAACTTGTTTTTCTTGTGTTTCCTTTAATCGGGCCTCAAGCGTTTCAATGTGCTCTTTCTTTGCAGCTAGTTTGCGATCCTGTAGAGCTGCTTCTCTCTTTAGTTGAGTATTTTGTTCTACCAGCTAGTTTTTTTTAAGTTAGTAAAAAAGTAAAGCTCTCATCTTTAATAATATCTTACTTTCTTTTGTACGCTGCTTAGTTGATCTATATCTCTTTGCAAAATTTGCATTCTACGTTGAGGCTTATTGCTAGTTGCTTTCAGCAGATTATTTTGTTGATTTCGAGCCTCTTCCAAGGTCATTTCAAGTTCAACGACCTTTTCACATCGACTCTGCAAGTCTCGCATAAGTACCTTCTTCATCGTTTCAAAATCTGCCAGCTCTTGTGCCATTGATTTACGCATACGTTCAAGCTCCTTTTCCTTTTGTTCGAGAGTCTGAGGAGAAGTGAAGATGGGCTCTATTGACTTTCGTAGCAGCTCATGCTTCTTTGCTTCCAAGTTCTTGATTTGCTCTTGCAACCTTTCCTCTTCCTTGGTCTTTTGTTCCATGTCTAGTCTGAGAGCCTCAATCTCTTTCTGTTGGGCATCACGTCTGATTATGTACTGATTTTCAAGTTTGACCTTTAAATCCGCAATCGTGTTTGCAATATCTTGTCCTGTTTGTGAGGCATCCATTTCTTCCAGAGCAATCGTTTTATCCAAGAGCTCTTCGTAATCTGCTTCGAGGTGGCTGATACGGGATTCTAGATCGTCTCGTTTATTGGCAAGTGAATCTCGTTCATGTTCCAATTGCTCAATCGTGGCCTTGTGCTGTTCAATAAGTTCCTTTGTCTTTCCCAAGTCTTGCTTGAGTTTATATACAGCCTCTGGTGTGATGTCTTCCATACTTAGACCGTTTTCAATTGCATCTTTCTGTTCTTCAGCATTTGTCTATAAAAAGAGTCAACCCTGGTCATAAAAAGTTATTGTGTATATTTACCTTGGCTGTTTCAGCATCATTCAAGTTCTCATGATTCTTTTCCTGTTTTTGTTTCAATTTGTCCAGTGTTGCTTTCAGTTCTTCTATTTCGGCTTTATATTCCGCATTAGCTTCCTTCAATGCATCGACAACTATTTCAATCTCTTTATTGTTATATGTGTCCTTTTCCAACTGAACGTGAGTCTTGGTTAATTCAGCAGACAACTGTTTATTAGCATCGATAGATTCCTGTTCCTTCTTCTGCACATCCTTCAACAGCACCTTTGTCTCTTCAATTTCTTTTTCTCGGCTTATCAGCTCATTGGCCTTTTCAGATATTTGCTCCAGCAGTTCTTGCTCTCGCTTTAAAAACTCTTCTTTTTCTTCTTTTCCTAGCACCGTTGCCGGCGTCGAAGGTCTGGATTCATCGTCAAGCTTGAATGGAGGAGCAGGTGTCTGTGGCGGTGTGATTGGCGATACGACATTTGTTGCTATTGCCGCTGGCTTCTTGGCACCATCCATCGAGGCCCAGTTAGATTCTGGTACTTTTCTACCAGCTCTCCACTGGCTAATTTCATTTTCTAGAGCGGAAATGTAGCTACGATATGACACAGCGTCTGTCTTGACACGTTTCAGTAGTGCCTTTAGCTCGGCAGGTGATAGGTCAGCATTGACCTTGGCCTTGTTCTTGATTGTCTTTGCACGCGCACCAAAACGTAAGGTGGAGATCGTTTCGGCCTCATTATAAGATGAAGGTGAACAGTTGATGATGAGTGTCGTACGTGAATTACCACCAAGAGATTCTTGCAAGATACGTGTCAGTTTTGAGTCACGGTAAGGGATATGGCTTGACTAAACAGATTGTGAGTGAAATCACATGAACATGTATGACACACGCAAAAATACCTTTCCGTCCGTGAGTGAATTGATGACCATACCCAACGCAGTCAAGGATTTGTTGATTTTTTTAGCTTCTTCCAGTGTCTGGCCAGAGGCGCCTGTTTTCCCTACTTTTTCTGAACCTGCTAAATCAACCAAATAGAGTTTACCGCTTTTGGCTGCTCCTGTATCAAGATTCTTTTGGGTGATGGTGACAAGCACAATTGAATGACTTCGAGAACTTTCAGCATTCATATCTACAGTATATAAAGTTATAAAAAGATGATAAAAGTGGTTCATTCATGCATTTACTTGTATAGGCAACAACGCGGTTATCGCCACCAATTCTCATTACATCATATACTTCATCTGAATTTGCAACGTATACTTCTTTTAAACCTTTGACATAAACGCCTTTTACTTTATCCTCATGAATAGGCAAGTTATCATGAGAAGCTAATATAAAACTAGTTATTAAAGAAAAAGAATTGTAATCTAAGCCCAATATCAACTTACGCACTAATAAATCTTTTACTTTTTCCATATAAATTTCCATATAAGCAACTTTGACAGTAAATTCCATATTTGTTGGTGCCATCTGAATGCTTTGAAAGATCTGTTCGATGATACGAGGGATGATACCCTTATTTTCCTGATCATCTATGCTTGAACCCATCATGGTGAAGGTTTTACCAGAACCGGTTTGACCATAAGCAAAGACAGTACCGTTATAACCAGCAACGACGTCATCCACGATAGACTTGATTGAATATTCGAATATTTCAACTTGTTTTGTGGATGAACCAAAGCATTTATCAAACGAGAATGAAGCTTGATCTTTTCCCTAAGTGGAGTTTTAATCCTTTTTTTTTTTTTTTTCAATCATCACACACACACACACACACGCATACACACACACAGCCCATTTTTTTCTGGTACCTGGAAAAGAAAAATATTACCTTTAAAGAAACTCCAGTTCCATCTTCCGAGATTTCGACAATCGGTACTCCTCCTTCTTTTATTTCCAACTTATTTTGAGGTCTGAAACGACATACAACTTTAATGTTATTGCCTGACATTATCGTTAATTAGTCCACAAAAAGCAAAAAGCAAAGAAAAGAGGAAACTGGGTGTTTAATGATAATAAAATTTATGGATGGTATTTTTTCTTCTTTTCTCTTTTTTTTTGTTATAAAGAAAAAGTAACGAGAATAATAATAAGAAGAAGTAAGGGGGGAATATAAGATAGAATAAAGAAGAGAGAGAAAAAGAGAGAGAAAAAGAAAGAGAGAGATAAAAAAGTTGTACATGTATAAACTCATGACGTCGAAAATCGGGTCTATAAAAAAATAGGATATTAAGATTGTATAAAGATACTATGAAGTCTCTCAAATTCAGTTGCACTCTTCAAATAAACACAGTGCCTGTTTGTGTTTTGGAGAGATAACAGATTAGGTACCTTGACCAATCCAAGCTTTTGACTGCCTTGGATTGATAGTTCCTAATGTATGATCATGTTGGTATAAGTAATATTTACAAATGGTTATTTCGTTACCTTATTATTTGTGTTGGCCGTGATTTGAAGATCATTCATTTGGTTCCTTAGCTGCACACTGCGCTGTTTGAGTGTGTATAATACAGATTGCTGTGTTTGATATTGATAGTCAGGTGATTTCTTCCTACTCTGCCAATGTGTGCTCTGATAATCATTTGAAAGTTGAACAACCCTTGGGGATGCACCTGCTACACGAGCATCCTTGACCAAGACTCTTGTTTCTCGAGCAATCGATTTAAGCGTATCATCTGATGTCGTAACCGGTTTCTCGTTTGAACCCAATTCTAAATTCAATGATCGGACAAAGTCTAAGCTCTTTAGGTGTGCATTCTCTGCTCTCAGATATCGAATAGATGCCTTCAAGCTTTCCATTTGACTTGACATCTCATAGTAATTGCCTGCCATTTCTTGCATAGTCGTGGTATCTTCCTGTTCTGTCAAGTCAAAGTTAGCTTTTCTCAGCATTGACTGTCTCTTCTCTTCTCGTTTGCTCGCTTCCTTCTTGAGCATGTTGTTCTCTGCCTCTAATGCATCATACTCTGCTTGTAGATTTTCCATTGCTTCCACATACATCTGCTCCTGATTCAAAGACTTTTCTAAATCCTCTTCTAACGTTTTGACATGCTCTAGCTCCTTTTTAGCAGTTTCCATCCTCTTTTCAAGTAAATTGATCTTGACATCAGCTTCTTGAAGGGCTTGGTCCTTCATCTTAACATCCTTTATCAACTTTATGATTTCTTCGTTATGTTGCTGTAACTTGTGCTCTAGTTCATGGTTAACAACAACCTCAGCCTTAATATCTGAAGCACGTTGTATCCATGGCGCTACCTTGGTTGAAACTAAACAGAGTGCGTTAGTTGCCATATTAAACAAATGCATACAACGTACTTTTATCCAGCTTGTCATCATTTTCAACCTGAGCATGTGTTGTTTCAAGTTCATTTGTTAATGACTTGAGTGTTCTCAGAGCACTTTCCCACATAGAGCTCTCAAGCATTTCAAATACTTCATCTCCCTTTTCACGAAGTAAATTCTTGATAAAGGATAGCTCAATCGACTCGTGGCTTCCTCGCTTTGTATCAATGTAGGCTATTAGTCCCTTATAAACCTAATCAAGAGATTTTCGTTAGGATATGCATAATGTTTTGATAAATATAGATAGTTTTCTCATACATCAAAACAAAATCCACATAACTTTGTGCTGATAGCATACAACATCTTGAAACGATTCAAATGTTCTCCCTTCAGAGTGAGAGCTTCTTCAAACTTGTCTTCCAATTGACGAATCAGTTTTCTTTAAAGAAAATTAATAAAAATGATACTTCATTTCACTCTCTCTCTTTCTCTTACTTGGCAATAATTTTACTGTTCTTTGCTTGTGTAATCAGTCTTCCGAGTGGTTCCATATAGTCTTGTTCCATCTGTCCTATACCTTCTTCTATGATTAAACCATCCTTTCTAACTGTATTATCTAATAACTGTCTAACAAAAGTAAAGATGACAATCATTCGATCAGCATTCAAGTCAAGAGCTCTTGTCAGACCAAAGAATTGATCTGCATTATTTCTCTCTTGTTGTTGGCCAAGGTGACTCTCGACCAAGTGCTCCACTTGGGAAATAACTCTTTGAAGCTCAGTCAGGCAATAGATCTCATTCATTTGATCCGTTCGGAATAACTCGACAATGCTGTTTATCTTTCTTTCAACACCAACCAGGTCAAGATAAACTCTGCCCATTCTTGTAAATGTGTCAGGGTCACAGTTTTTGATATGGGTTTGGAATCTAGCGGATAAAGAGCCTAACCAGCCAGCCCTTTGTTTTATCTATGATTTGAATTAGAAAAAAAAAAAAAATACTTGTCATCCATACCTCGCAGATGGTAATCAAACTTTCTGTAACATTGTCCATGATCTTTTCACTGACTGGGTAGTTTTGATCTAAATGCTTAATAATCAGGTCAGATTTAAACTCGAGTCGCTTGAATAAGAGCAGACAAGAGATGGGGTCATTTTCAGTCTTGAAGAAGGATTCGGGTAAATAGGGCTGAATCATATTCAATCTGTCGTTTGCTTGAGAAGCTTCTAATTTACGTAGTTCGATATCAATCGATTTAGCCTGAGCCTTCATAACAGTCGTCTGAAGTTGAAGATTAAGCGACATCATGGCTTGAGATTGACTGCTCAATGACATCTTTTCGTTTTGGTCGTCCTTTTCTTTGCGCTTCAGCTCTTGTAAATCATTTTGCAAATGATTCACGAGTTCTCTAAACTGTTCAATCGTCGTTTCGTAGTCTGCAATTGTTTCTTCGTTGGCTCTTAAACGTTCAACCTGTTCTCTTAACAACATATCTCGATGATCAATTTCGGCTTGTAATTGCTTTTCTGTTTCCATATGGTTCTCTTCAAGTTCGTCAGCAAGTTCCTTTAGAGCCTCCAAGTCATCAACAGTAGCTCTTAATTCTTCCATCTTTTCTGTCAGATTGAGATTCTTTTCAGTAAGCTGTTCAACCAGATCTTCTGTACCCATAGCATCATCCAATTGTATCTTCAAGTCCTCCACAAGGATCTCAGTGACAGTCAGTTGTTCCTTTGTCTTTTCATATTGATCTATAGAAGAAATGAGTTATTAAGCTAAAGGATGTATGTTTTTTCTTACATCTAATCTCTTCCAGTTCAAAGTTTTCTTGTTCCAATTGCTTGATTCTTTGGTTCAATTCTGCTTCATGTTCTGTCGTTGCATCACGTAACCTAATTTTGTTTGTTACACGACATTAACAACATCTATTAAATGCATTGTGGTCTAATGTTTACCTTATTAGCGCTTCTCTCAGTCTTTCATTGTGTCTCTCAAGCTGAATAACTTCTAGAGCAGTTCTTTCTTCATCACCTTCCCCCTTCTTGACTGGAGGCTTGTTGAGTATATCTGCTTCTTTCTTGAGAATATCTAGATCAATACTGATTTCTGCAATCTTGTCTTTTAGGATATTTGTTTCCTGCTGTAAAGCTTCTGCCCTTTCCTCTGCTACTTCTTTATCTAAAGTAAGCATCTCTACAGATTCAGACAGTTCAATATATTTGGATTCAAATGACTCCTTTTCAGCGGTCACTTCCTTTAGTTCTCTTCTTGCATCTCGGACATCCTTCTGAAGCTCTGCAATTTTGTCTTGAAGTTTGTTTCGAAGTGTCAAGAATTGTTCTGCTTCTTCTTTTATCTTTTCGTGTTCTCTGAATCGTTCTCGATCTTCTTGTCGTTTGGCTTCAAGAATTTTAAGTTTAAATCGCAGCTCCTCATAGTCTTTTAGCGGAACCATCTTATATATATAAATTAAATTAGAATAGAAAACTCAAGGATATTTATAAGCCCTTACCTGTTCTGACTTACTTATTGGCTTTGTAGAGGCCAATGAGCCATAAACAGGCTGTGGTTGTTGTTGTTGTTGTTGTTGTTGTTGTGGCAGTGGTGATGGAAGTGATGACTGTTGATGTTCTTCAAGTGGCTCATCCTCGTCTTCTTCATCTTCAGGTGGACTGATCAGGTCATCTTCTGCTGTATCCTCGGATGCTGTTTCTTCTTCATCTTTTTCAATGGATACAGGGCTTGCTATGATGGTAGTATTAGCAATCGTGTTGTCATTACATAGCATATCGAATTCGTTATCCTCGTCACGAATTTCATTTATTTCGTCGTCGTCTAGATCCATCTCATGACTAGGTGTTGAAGGTGCTGTAATCGGAGGTCTGGTCTTTAGAATTGAATTGGAATTGGCTTGAAAGGGTCGTTTCAAGATAGAATGTGATGACATGACGGATTTTCTAGGGGCTGCTGTACTTTTACTCGTTACTGTCGGAGGCGGAGACGGTGATTCTCGTTGTTGTTGTTGTAGCAGTAAAGACGAAGGACGCTTTTTGGTGGTAGGAGAAAGTGTTGCCTTCTTTGTTGGTGAAGGAGCCACAATTGATTTTCGTCTTTGATTAGGTATAGAAGGAGTAGTAGGAGCAACCACAGATTTTCTTCTTTGTGTTGTTGCTGGTGGGGTAGAAGAAACGACTGATTTCCTTCTTTGCATGGTTGTTTGAGGAAGAGGGGGAGGAGATGGTTCTACAATCGATTTTCGTCGAAGTGAAGATGGTTCAACAATAGATTTTCTTCTAGTATTGGTATTGATAGGAGGAGGGGATGGTTCTACAACTGATTTCCTTCTTTGAGCAGGTGCTGCAACTGACTTTCTTCGCTGAGTTGGTACAGATGTTCTTTTTTCATTTGAAGGAAGAGACTAGCCCAAATGATGAATACATATCATGTATTTTTTGTATATATTGATTACCTCTAGTAATTTCACATTGGCTGGTCTAACAAACATCCCATGGTTTGCTTTACAGTCAAAATATCTCTTTCCTTGAACTACCCCACTATTCTTTCCTTCTGGTTCATCAAGCTCAACACCAATCCATTTTCCAGTCTGAAAACTAGTTGCGCCCACATACTTGACAACGCCAACAAGATCATTGTTGACCAATACTCGAGAACCAATATTGATTTCCTCTTTACTGCTGTTGACTGATTGTCGTTTTATACTGGACATGAGTTGTTTTCCCTGTAAAGAGCCACAATAAAAAAGCTGAGATAGACACTTTGTTTCTCTATATAAATAAAAGAAAGGGTCCCTCTTTATTCAATAAACAGAAAATAAAGGCTATCAAGAGTATAGAAAAAA